CAGGTAGAAGGTTTTCAGGTCCAGCTCCTGGTCCCTTACCAATTCCTCCAACACTGGGTGCACGGCCAAAGAGAAGAACAGGGGGCCCAATGGGTCGCCCTGCTGGACGCTGGCTTGGGGGGACAACCCGCGAGCGCCGAAACGCAGATGCGAGTGCTCCGCGTACGTCCAGCGCGCCCACTGCTCCAGTTCGGGGAAGCGGTCGCCGACGGCTCGCAGCACCCTGCCGCGCCGCAGCGTGTTGAAGGCGCTCGCGCAATCCAGCTTGAGTAGGACTTTGTTGCCCGGAGTACTGTTGCGCTCACACCACTGGCGCACGGCGTGCACGGGTTCTTCTGCACCCAGCGGGCTGCGGCAGCCTGCCTGCAGCGGCCAGAGCGTCTGCCAGGCCCTGCTCTTCACACGTTCGCACAGCACCTTGCTCGTCAGGCGGCGGAGCACCTCGCCGACTGCGATTGGCCGGACACCGCCGTCGTCTTTTTCCAGCGCCGCCAAGCTGGCCCCAGCAGAGTGCGGCGCCAGATGCCAGGACGCTTCTCCATTCGCCAGCAGGTGTCCGACGGCCGCGAGCTGCTCGCAAGCTGTCTCGCGAGTGGCGGGTGTGAGAGCGTCCAGCAGGTGTTGGGCTCCCAGTCCAGAAGGGCCCGGGGCGGTGCCTTTTGGGCAGGCGCGCAAGGCCTTGGGCACGGCGTTGGGCGCGAGCGGTGGCGCGGCCAGGAGCGAGTCCAGGTGCCCGAGCGGCTCGGCAGGCGCCTTCGGGTGCAGCAGTCGTTCTAGGGCCCGCACCGTCTCCCTTGTTTGTTCAGCCAGACCTTGGGCCGTCAGGGCCGCGCACCCTTTGGCCAGGAGGCCCTCTGCGGCGTAGGCCGTGGCGCGCGCTGCCCGCAGCTCGGCCGTGGGCGGGCCGGTTGGCAGACGACGTCGGTCGAGCTGCGCGTCGCACGCCTCCTGCCAGAGCATAGTCCTGGGGCCCAGTACAGGGGGTAAACGCCCGATGGTGAAAATTTGAAATTCCTGGCCAGATCTCAAGGGAGGAGGAGGAGGAGGAGAAGGAGGAGGAGGAGGAGGAGACCCCTTGCGTGAAGATTTGTAAGGCGAGTTGGATTTGGAGTTGGATTCCCTGGACACGGCCCTGATAACATGTTTCGATTCGATATCTGAAGTGTGTGAAAGATCTGGGGCCCCCTGCTTGTGGAGAGGCCCCGGGAGCCCTCTGCGATGCTGGGAGGCCCCAGCCGAGGCCACTCCGGGAGAGCCCCCCCCTGAGGCAGCCCGAGACCGAGGGCACCGCGGCCGGGGGGAGTCGCCGTGGCGGGGCGCGCGTACAAGCCAGCGGCCGAGTAGACGCAATCATGGGTCCTGGTGTCGCTCGGACGTGTGATTTTCTTTTCTGCGAGGATCATCGAGGGGGCATCTTGTGAAAAGAAGTGTATGACACAGGAGCATGTATATGGGAGTTGATGTTCGAGTGATGGCAAGACATGGATCAAGGCGCATGGATTCGCGACAGGTCGTAGAGCCGGTCGCCGCGGGGGCTGAGGTGGCCCAGCCATGGTTCGGGTCAGCAGGGCCCCCCTCGACGCAGCGCCTGGACGCGGTTCGGAAAACTTGTCAATTTGGTCCCCGTGAGGTGTCAGAGGATCGATCTTGAGCAGATTCGCCTCCGCCCCCCCACTTCACCGATTTTCTCGGGGCTCATCCAGCGCAGACCCCAGGCCGCTTCCAAGACGGGTCCCGCTTCCATGCAATATCGGCACGTTCCGTGGCCAAATCGGCACGCTCCGTCGCCCAAATCGGCAGGCCCCCAGACGTCACCAACCCCTTGTTTTAACAGGGTATCCCAATGGCCGCCTCGGATTACCAACATGAGGCGGGGATCCCGCTTGGGACGTTTTCGCGATGCACACACAGACGAGTTTTCCGCTCGAGACTTCCTCTAGATTTATGTTTGAGTGTGTGAGTGTGTGCGATGATGTGGATGATAATGAGGGTCAGGATGATGAGGATGGCGTTGGCAGATGATCATGATGGGATGGTAATCGTGAAGCTGATGGTGATGTTGGTGATGACGATGGAGGCCAAGACGATGCTGACGACTGTGATGATGATGCTGATGATGAAGATGAGGATCATGATGAGGAGGAGGATGCTGCTGATGCTGATGATGATGATGATGATGAATCTGATGATGATGGTGGTGGTAATAGTAATAGCAATGGTGGTGGTGATGGTTGTGATGATGGCGATTGCGATGGCGATGATGATGCTGATGCTGTTGATGGTGATGGTGATGCTGATGATGATGATGATGATGATGATGCTGATGCTGGTGCTGCTGATGATGATGATGATGATGATGGCGGTGCTGATGATGAGGAGAAGTCGAATGCTGTTGATGATGTGTATGTTGCTGATGATGATGATCATCATCATACTGATGATTACTATGACGATGCTGATGCTAATGCTGCTGAAACTGTCGATGATGGTGGTGCTGATGGTGATGATGATATTGATACTGATACGGATACTGATACTGATGATGCTCATGAGGAGATGATGACGATGATGATGTTGATTATGGTGGTGGTGATGATGATGATGATGATGATGATGATGATGATGATGATGACGGTGACGATGATAATGGCGCTAATACTGCTGATGCGAATGAGGAGGAATGTAGAAGGACGAGAGAGGAGAGGATGGTAAGGTTCCTGCGCGGGGGTGCGCAGAGAAAACAATAATCACACTTAGGATGCCAGGGGATACAATCGCTTGCCGACAGCATGCAGCTTCTCGTGATCACCAGTTGTGCTGGAGTGGTGTGGTTTTTGCATTTCGCTTCCGTCCCTCGCATTCACGGACTCGTGCGTTGAAGGATTTGAGCGAATCTGGGCGTGCGAGCACTGGAAACGGGCGGAGTTAGGACAGGGATAGATCATTCCAGAATGCTCCAGAACGCCTTTGGGACATTCCAGAACTTTCTGAGAAGGTCGTGGCTAATACATCCGCCAGAACCACGAGATCTTAGGTATCCCCTGTTTACCCAGACGGATTTTGCATGGAAATTTAGACAAGAGCAGACAGGGAGAGGTTAACCGGCTGGCCAGAGCGGGGCAGCGGTTCGATCTGCCGCCCCCCCGGCTTTAGCCATCCATTGCCCGTTGACGTCCCTCGGCTTCTCTCTGTGCTGCACACTGCTCGACGCAGGGCGCGCGCCGCAATTTGTGGCTCTGCCGCAGATCCATGGTCAGAGAAGTCGCCGCTTGTCCGCCACTCCCCTGCGCATCTCAGAGTGGGGCGAGTTGAGACAGTTCTAGTTTACCTTCGGGGGGGCCCTCGTCGCCACGGCTGGACGCAGCTCGGCAAACTGGTGCGTTTGGGCCACAGGAGCGGTCTGGGCACTGATTTTGAGCTGCCGTTGTCTCAACTCGCCCTGCTCCGAGCATCACTGGCCTTGAATGCTTCCAGCCCCTTGCATTTGGGCTTCTTCCGCCTCGCCATGGCAGGAGGGATGGAGGCACGGAGGGACGAATGAGGGAGGGGGAGGAGAGTGGAGAGGAGGGATGGGAAGAGAGATGGAGCGCCCACTCTGCTTCCACACGGCCCTGACGGTCGGGGTCAGGGATCTCCCAGGACTCCCCAAAACGTCTCGACATCTTCGACCCAGGCATCCTCTGAAATGATTGTTTCAATCCACGGATCCAGAGGACCCGACCCCCTTCCCAGGGGGTAGAGCTTGGTCCAGGATCCACTTTGGTGGGGCCCCAGGGTCCGAAACTACAGTCGAAACCGATAGTATTCACGTGAGGGGGAACCGGGGCCGGGGGCCCCCGGGCAAGCCCCCCGACCACGAATGTGTGGACCGGGCTGCCTTGGGCCCTGCCCGCCCGTTGGAGGCCCTCCAAGATCGCCCGAAGACGTCCCTGGGTTGCTTGAAAACGCGTTGCAAGACCGCCAAAACGGCCCATGACGGCCCTAGATTGGCCAGAATTGGCGCCGCACTGTCCAAGAGGTCCAAGAGGCCTCCAAGACGCCCCAAGAGGCCCTCCACGAGGCCTCCCAAGAGGCCGAATTCATTCGTTGATCGAGCGTTTTTCAGGGATGTTGGTTTTCTGGGCTTTTCGGCTTCCCACCGCTCCCAGGCGGTCCGAGACGCCGCCAAGATCGCCCAAGACTGCCCATGAGGCTCTCAAGAGAGCGCCCCGAGAGAGCTCCAAGACGGCCCCGAGAGGCCTCCAAGCCGGCCCCAGAGGCCCCCAAGACAACTCCCGAGAGGATCCACACGAGGGGCCCGAACACACATTTCGAGCCCTCGGCCCCGAAAGGCCCCCAGGAAGCTCCGAGAGGTTCCCAAGAAGCCCCCAAGAGGCCCGAAGACCGAAGAGGCGGCCTCCAAGAGGCCTCCCAAAGAGCTTATACATGTGTTATAGGTTTGGAAGGATTTCGCGTTCTCTTCTCTTCGGCTTCCCAACGCTCCAGCGCGGCCCGAGACAGAGCCCCAAGACGCCCCGAGAGAGCTCCAAGACGGCCCCAAGAGGGCTCCAAGACGGCCGAGGAGGCTTCCAAGACGGCCTCAGGGGCTTTCAGGACGACTTCAGAGAGGGTCCACACGGGGGCCCCGACCGGGCATTCGAGCCCTCGGCCCCGACACCCAAGAAGCTCCGAGAGGTACCCAAGAAGCCCCAAGAGGCCCGAAGAGGCTTCCAAGAGGCTGTCAGGAAGACCCCACGAGGCCTCCACGAGGCCCCCCAAAGAGCCAAACTCATAGCTATTTTTCACAGCTGTTGAAGGGTTTTCGCGTTCTCACCTATACAGGTTCCCGACGGTCCAAGGCGGACCACGAGGCCGCCCAGATCGCACCAACACTGCTTAAGAGGCACCCCAAGATCGCCCCAGCCTACCCCAAGGAGTCCCCCACGCCCCTGCGACCTTCTTGGGGCCCTCCCAAGCCGTCTTCGAAGATCCTGAAAGCTCTTGGAGGGCCCCGAGATGGCCCCAGGAAGGCTCCAAGAGGAAGCCAAGAGCGGTCACGCAAGCTGTCTCGCGAGAGTGGTACTGGTTCTGGTGCTGCTGTTGGTGGTGCTGCTGGTGCTGCTGCTGGTACTGGGGCCGGGGCCCGGGCGGGGATACCCTCCCGGATTCTCCCTTCCTTTTGGCCCACGACATGATTGCCCCGTTTCTGGGGCACTCTGGGCCCGCCCCCCCGCCGCTCAACATTGCTCCGGAGGCGACTTAAATTTGACCAGAGCGGCCTGCCAGGGCCAAGCACGCCCGAATAATTTCAAGACGGGCGTCCAGGCCCCGAAGATGCCCTAAAAGAGGGCTCCAAATGCGCCCCGAGGGGGCCCCAATATGCCAAAATTGTTTGATCCCCGAGGGAAACGAACATTTGAACATATTTGAACTCTGGGTCTGAACAGCGTCCAAAACGGCCCAAGAGGCCCTACAGATCGCCCCAAGACGGCCCAAAAGGCCTCCAAGAGGGCCCCAGGAGGACCCAAGAGAGCCCCGAGACGGTCCAAGAGGCGCCCAAGACGGCCCACGACGGCCCTAAGAGGAGTCCTAGAGGGGGAGCTCCAACTGACATTTCGAGTCCTCTGCCACCAGTGAGCCCCCCAGGCCGCAGCAGGGACTCAAGAGGCCCCCAATGGCCCCAAAGAGGCGCCAAGCAGCCCCACAGGGCTCACATGAGGCCACAGGAAGGTTCAAAACTCGCTCCACGAGGCGCCCGAGGGGCATGCCCAGAGACCCCGAATTACATGCATCCAAAATCCTCTGGCCAAAAACTGTGGCGTAGCAGCGGTACGGACCGAAGGCCATATATAAGCAAATTATCCCAGTGCGACCCTACCTAGGAGGTGGAGCCTCTAGGAAAGCAACATTAGTAGGAGCGGTAAACGCCGTCCTCCTCCTCATCGTCGTAGTAGTAGCAGTCGCAGTAGCAGTAGTAGTAGTAGTAGTAGTAGTAGTAGTAGTAGTAGTAGTAGTAGTAGTAGTAGGAAGAGGAGGAGGAGGAGGAGGAGTAGGAGTAGGAGTAGGAGTAGGAGTAGGAGTAGCAGTAGCAGTAGCAGTAGCAGTAGCAGTAGCAGTAGCAGTAGCAGTAGTAGTAGTAGTAGTAGTAGTAGTAGTAGTAGTAGTAGTAGTAGTAGTAGTAGTAGTAGTAGTAGTAGTAGTAGTAGTAGTAGTAGTAGTAGTAGTAGTAGTAGTAGTAGTAGTAGTAGTAGTAGTAGTAGTAGTAGTAGTAGTAGTCGTAGTAGTAGTAGTAGTAGTAGTAGTAGTAGTAGTAGTAGTAGTAGTAGTAGTAGTAGTAGTAGTAGTAGTAGTCGTCGTAGTCGTAGTCGTAGTCGTAGTCGTAGTAGTCGTAGTCGAAGTCGTAGTCGTCGTAGTCGTAGTGTAGTAGTAGTCGTAGTAGTAGTAGTAGTAGTTAGTAGTAGTCGTAGTAGTAGTAGTAGTAGTAGTAGCAGTAGTAGTAGTAGTAGTAGAAGAAGTAGAAGTAGTCGTAGTCGTAGTCGTAGTCGTAGTCGTAGTCGTAGTAGTAGTAGTAGTAGTAGTAGTAGTAGTAGTAGTAGTAGTAGTAGTAGTAGTAGTAGTAGTAGTAACAGTAGTAGTAGTAGTACTAGTAGTAGTAGTAGTAGTAGTAGTAGTAGTAGTAGTAGTAGTACTAGCAGCAGTAGTAGTAGTAGTAGTAGTAGTAGTAGTAGTAGTAGTAGTAGTAGTAGTAGTAGTAGTAGTAGTCGTAGTAGTAGTAGTAGTAGTAGTAGTAGTAGTAGAAGTCGCGCCAGAACCGCCGACGCCACGCCGTAGGTGAAGCAGCAGCAGAAGCAGGCAGCAAGTCGCTGCATATATATATATATATAGCAGCAGCAATAGTGTATGCTGTGCTGCGCTATGCTATGCTATGCTATGCTATGCTGGGCTAGGCTAGGTTATGCTATGCTATGCTATGCTGCGCTATGCTATGCTGCGCTGTGCTATGGTATGCTATGCTTTTGCTTTGCCTTCGCTTTTGCCTTCACTTTTGCCTTTGCTTTTGCTTTTGCTTGGTACCCAGGGAGCGCAACAGGGGGAACCGCCCGGGGCCGGGAAGCACTGCCCGGCCCCTTGAGGCCCAGAGAGTAAGAACTTTTCTAGGCAGAGCCTAGGCAGGGAACTGTCACATATACTAAGCTATGTTATGCTATGCTATGCTATGCTGCGCTATGCTATGCTATGCTATGCTATGCTGCGCTATGCTATGCTGCGCTATGCTATGATATGCTATGCCATGCTAATGCTGCGCTAAGCTGAGCTGAGCTAAGCTAGGCTAGGCTAGGCTAGGCTCAAGCTAAGCTGAGCTAAGCTAGGCTAGGCTAGGCTAGGCTAAAGCTAAGCTAAGCTAAGTTAAGCTAGGCTAAGACAAGATGAGATAAGCAAAGCTAAGCTAAGGGGACGTAACCGGGGGAACCGCGGGGCGGATACTGGGGGAACCGCTCGGGGCGCTTTCCACTGCCCGGCCCCTGTAAGCCCAGAGAGTAAGAACCCTTCTAGGCAGAGCCTAGGTAGGGAACAATTGGTTTGGCGACGGCCCCATCCCTGGCGCGGGGACGCCATGCGAAGCTGGCCACTGGTGCCATAGGTGCAGCTCTTTCTGGGGCACGATTCGCGCAACAGGTGTGAAGACGTGGGCGGTGGGGGGCGTTATGCCAACCTTGTCTCTGGGCCTTTAGGTGTTGCTCCTTGTGGGCACGATCCGCGTGACGGGGTGTGCCGCAATGGCCGGGGTGGGGGGGCGCAGTGTGAATCTGGCTTTTGGGTCCGTGGGTGGAGATTCCTGTGGGCCACGATCCGTGTGAGAGGCGCCGAAGTAAACGGGAGGGCGGGATGCAAACCTTGTCTCTGGGCCGTCCGTGGAACTCCTTGAGGGCCACGATCCGTGTGAGAGGTGTGCCGAAGTGAGCGGGGCGATGCTATGAAGCTCCCCTCTGGTGCCGTAAGTGCATTCACTTGCGGGGCAGGATCCGCGTGAGGGGCGTGTCATCATGCGAACCTCGTCTCTGGATTCGTGGGTGGATCTCCATGTGGGGCGCGATCCCTGTGAGGGGTGTGCCGGCATGGGCGGGGGGACCCTACGCCAAGCCTGTCTCTGGGGCCGCAGGTGGAGCTCCCTGAGGTGCACGATCCGTGGGACAATGGATGTCCTCCGATCCCGAACAATCTAGACTGCAACTGGAGCTTGCTAGAACCAAAGCGCACGTCAAGCTCGCGCGCGTGGTTGGAGTAATGATGGGTAATATTTCCAAGGGTACCCTTGCATCCTTACCTCTTCGGTCCATCCTTGGCCACTTCAACTGGCCGCGCACCGCTCGAAAAATATCGGCATGACCTTCCACGACCCTTGCATCCTTCTCGCGCGTCCTTACTGTCAATGTTGATTGTACTTTCGTCCAGAATCCTTTATGATGGGGCCCACGGGTTCGAAACTGAGGGAACAAACCCGCATGGAAAAATTGATGTCCTCGGAGCTTTGGGTGTGTGTCCAGGGCCTGGACACTCCTCGCCGCGGGCCCGAAACGGGCCGCTGCGGAGGCTCAGGCGGCTGAAGCCGGGCCGCCCTTGAGCTCCTCAGGGCGTTTAGGCCTTCTATCGGGACGATTGGAATAGGTACGGAAAGAATGGGTACAGTCGGGGCGCTGGAGAAGGAGCTCTTTTCGTTTGGGAGGGTCTCAGTGTTCCATAGGTGCAGTTGGCATTCGGTTTTTCTTGGGCTTTCGATAGGACATCGAAGTTTAACTTATGGAGAAGGGCCTCGTTCCTCATCTAGGGTTCCTTCGGTCAACGCCCCGACTGTATTCCTATTCATTCTGAACAGGACTCGCTGTCGGCGTCGCCGTAGACGGTGTCCATTTGAGACAGGCGGCCCCCTGCCCAACAGCGGCCGCTGTCGGTTTGGGACAGCAGCTGTTGTTGGGCATCGTGCTAGTGTTTCCCCTGCCCGCTTCGGGCGTCCAAGCTCTGGGGTTCACCTCCTCCCCGTGGCCAGGCCCAGGAGCGGTGCACATCCCCACCCCTGGCCCTGCCGGGGGGCGTAGGCATGCTCCTGGGCCCAGGGTGGGCCTGGCCAGGGGCGGTGGATCTGCACAGAGCTCCGCGCCCTGTCTGTATGCCCCCAGGCTCGCACGCGCTCACCTCCTCCTGGGGGCCATCGGAGCTGACTACCGTACCGCGCCGGGCCCGCGCTGCGCCCCCCCCCCCCCCCTGCCCCCCACGCGGCATCTCCACACGGGCCGAGAGAGTTCCCCCCGACCGGCCCTTCGTCGGCCGAGGGCGGCGCAAGGGGGGCGGGGGCAGATGGCGCCTTGTCGCAGGTGGCCGCCCGCCCAAGCCGCGGCGTCGGTGTTTGCTGGCCGCCCGCCCACGCCGCGACGTCGGTGTTCGCCGAAAGTTGCGTCCTGGGCCCAATGGCAATCCGGGAATGCTTCCGAAAGTTCGGGGCCCGTCAGAAAAATGAGTATGGGAAGACAGGCGACCCCGGGGAAAAGGTCGGGAACTCTGGGGCTGTGGATTCAGAAAATCATATCGGAGGATGTTCGGGAGGTGTCCCCAGCTCTGCGCTCCAAATTGGAGCCCCTGGGGCCCTGGAGGGAACCGGAGGTTGTGGATTCCACCTTGGGCTGGGGACGGTTCTGGCCAGACCCGAGCGAGGCCCCTTCTCCCCTGGGCCTCGGGCGTCGCATTTTTCCGTGCCGGGCGCTTGCGGGTTGCACCCAGCTTTGGGCCCCACAGGGAGGTGGGGGTCGAGGGCTCCGGGACCCCTCGCGGGTGGATCCGGTTTGTCTGAACGCCACAGGAAGACGTCGGGGGCCCCCAAACGGGGTGGTGACTACACCGTGCGGTGAGTCGGTGGGGATTCGGGGTCACCGCACGGTTTTGGGACTCGGGTCGTTCTCTGGGGACGTCTCGGGCGACTGGGGCCTCAGAGGTCCAAAAATCGTGCGCTGACGGACCGTGCGGTGAGGTCTTGGGGGATTTCGAGGTCACCGCACGGTCTGTCACCGCACCGTTTCGGGACTCCAGAAGACGGGGTCGAGGGCTCGGGCGGGCACAGGACCAGGATGATCACTCCAGAGCGTTCTGGAATACTCAGAGCGTTCTGGAGCGCTTCGGAACGGCTGTGGCGCCCCCATATACATTTTATCGTCCAGCACGACCGCCAGATCTTAGAGATCCCCGAGTTGTCCAGGTTCGATTTTGTCCCGGTCCCAGCTTCGACTTGGTCCAGTCGTGGTTTTGATGGTGGCTATGTTTTGTTCACCGCGTTCTAAATGTTCTCAGTGCTTTTGCCACTTTAAGGGTAGCTTTTTGGGAAATGTTATATAGGATCGGGAGTATAGCTCGCGTACCGTTGCCTTTGACTCAAGGCACGCGCGCCCTATTTGCCCGGACACTGCTGGTGTTTGTTATGTGCTGGAAAGATCATTACATCGATATTATCCTATCTTATCCGTCCACTCCCCATACTGAACTACCCCAGCATGGCATTGGACGCTATCTGCCATCCGCTTCCCATGGAATGGGATGCTATTTGACCGACCTACCATCGTCACTTCAGACTTGGTAGCGGAGCTGGCCGCACTCTCGTGTGGTCAGCCCTTGCTCTTCTTATCCTCACGCTATCCGGCACGATCTTCGTGACCAACTACCACCTTGCGCCACCACTCCAACTACATTTACGAGGATCAATTCAAGAGCAAGAGGCAACACGAGAGGTACGACGTCTAGACAACAACATTGGTACCATATACGCTTCATCACTACGCTATTACCAACCGTTCGGCGACGAACCAAAAGCGCAGTACTTGAAGCAGAGGCGGGAAGACCCGCAAGATAAAGCGCCTCGAAGACTTAACAAGGCGCTACCCCAGCGCGGCAACGCGCCTGATAACCACCCATATCTTCACAGCCTTGGGCTGGTTATCTTCGCCATCATATGGTTTGCGCTGGGGGCAACAATCGGACACATGCGCCGAGGAGACAACAGCACCGATGGGCAAACACATGGCCCATACTGGGACCCTCAAGGCAACGTGCCTTTCCGCGAGTACGTTTATGAGGTCAACGCGTGGCTCAACGTCACAAGCGGACGCATGACGCCACAGGCCCAAGCAGCCGCCATACAACGCGGCCTGGGTGGCCTAGCGAGGACACTCGCCATGAGAGTACCACCTGACATTATAAACTGCGGTGCAGACATCGATTGTGTCAACACCGACCCAGTAACCTACATCATGTTCCTCTCAAGCATGAAGTTCGAACGCCTGGAAGATGAGCGCCAGCTCACTTCAGGCACACAGTTCATCGACTTTCATGTGCCTCACGGAGAACGAATCGATGTAACCCTTACTCGGTTCGATATGGCCCGTCTTGAGGCACAGTCGGTGGGGTTTGACCTTCCCAACTTCCAACTGCTCACTGCTATCCTATTCCGCGCCCTAGGCGTCGGCAACCAGAGAGCCATGCAACTCTTGCAGCCACTGAACCACCAAATGCCCCGAACACAACAACAGTATGATGAGTTGTGCGAGAGGGTGCGCTCGATAGGCCATTTGTCAGAACGGTCTCCTGGTAACATAGGATCAGTGTTTGGGAGGGGAAGGGGAAATGGTAGTGGAAATTTCTATACTACCTTAACCACCGAAGCTCTGGCAACGGGCCCGCAAGCATATGGGCCGACGATCCTGGAGAGTCTACTGCCCTACTAACAGGGGATCGATGACAACCAAGCTGGGCAACCAGCCCTCCTCCTAGAGAACCTCAACCACACCGTTCCTTATGGGGGGAAGCGAATCCCCTAAGCGACGGTGTATCCACCTACCTAGGAAATGGCGATTTCGACTCCGGCACCGACACCGGCACCATATCATCAGATGGTATTGAACCCTTAGACTGGTCAGGTATCATGCAAATGGAAGGTTACAATCAGCGCGCCGAACACCTGTTCTGGTTATTACAACAGGCAAAGCGGAGGTGGAGGAGGTTCACACGAAAGCCAGTGCGTCGCGTTAGGAGGTGGATACGGAGGAGCTTCAAAGGAAAAGGTAAAGGCAAACGGGGTCGCCGTACGTTGAATGGACGAGGCATCTCGGCTTTCCTCCAGAGGCTCTCAGATGATCAGTATGATGAGATATTTTTCGGAGGAAAAGGCCGCGGAAAAGGCCGTAGAGATACCTCAGGCAAAGGTAAAGGTAGGCGGGGGAACCCGCGAGGTAGAGACGGCCAGATCCTAAAGTGCCATGAGTGTGATAGCACCGATCATCTTGTAAAAGACTGTCCAGCGAAGGGAAACGCAAAGGGCAGATCGACCGAAGTCCATTTCGGCTCAAGTGAACCAGTTATTGAATATCTGAGCCTCCAAGGTTTTGAGGCCATGGAACAGATATTTTTCACTTGGGCCAGCAGCATGGACTACTTGGATGAGCTCGAGGCGTGCGGCCACGGACTGTACGCGTACTACCTCGAGTACCTCCGCAGATTTGTTGTCGGAAATATCGAGCTTACGCCTGTGGAGAATGGTTCGCTGGGAAACCAGCCCTTATCCTTCTTCGACTGGATGTTCGGTAACCCAGACAACATCATGGCCTACGAGAGCAGTGACGAGGACGTCACTGTTGAGGCCTCGCCTTCGGAGGTTGACTACAACCTTCGACATCAACCCGACCTTATGCCTGGAAACAGGCCCACTCCAGTATATCTTCTAAATTATGCCGATCTGATGGAATTAGAATCTCAAGCATTCACTACGGGCGTGCCAGGGGACCCATGCGTACCACCTGGCTCGCTTGCTCCAGGCGAGTAAGGACCGCACGCGCTACTGCAGACCCTCATGCAGATGCACGCTGCATTGGTCGTAGCATATCCCGAGAGTCAAGAGAGTGTCGAAAGTGGCCACATGATGCTACAAGACACCGGTGCCTGTGACGACTCGGAGGTAGTGCTGGCGGCCCTTTTTCTCATCGACAGTGTGCACCCTGAGGACGTGCAACGACATGTGTGGTATTCCAGAGGGAGATGGCGCCAAGCTCTTGAACAGGGCCATTTCCATGCGTAGTCAGGCTCTTCCTCCGCCAGGATGGGGTCTCCACGCGGCGGGATTACGGCCCAGCCACACGGCCATGCGAAATATTATCGGGCAGCCTACACATGACTATGATCATCCCGAGGCGCACGCTATGCTCGGTAACGAGCCTGAGCCGACTACCGTACTGCCGACGCCGGGGCAGCCAAGCGATGCTCAGACGCTTGTACAGCAGGGAAACCTGCCCGTCCCGGCTGGACCGATGACCGTCGTCATCGGCAACCCTATGTCAGAAGATGAAGAGGGTGATGGATGTGGGATGTGCGAGGGCGAGACCACCATCCTCATGATGGAAGCCAATGGCGAAGACGAGGAGGTGGATTTCAGCCCCGACAGTCCTGACGCACCACCACCTGCGCAAGAGCCAATTGTGCCAGACTCCAGTCAGCAGGGAGACCTGCCTGCCCAAGATGCGCCGCCTGCGGCCCCGCAGGACCCCCTGCCGGTTCCTGCTCAGGCTGCGTCGGCGGCCTCGTCTGATGAGCATGCCAGGAGGTCTCGTTCGCATCCACGCCTTAGGGATGACCCTCACCCTCAAGCACGGCTCCCACGCGAATGGAGGCAAGCAGGCCCATCAGAGCATGCCGCTCGACGAGGGGGCCAGTTGCTCGCCTGCAATGGCCCGAGGCGTCAAACGGGGGAGCGCTCTGCCTTTGGTAAAGGCAACCCAGCTTACAGGGATGCCCAAGGCAGGTCCATTCGGGGTGGCTACCAGCTCGCGACGAACATTCGTCGTCCTGAGATAGAGGTAGCACGGGCGCAGCTGCGAAATGTCATTGCGGCACGCAAGCTATACAGGCCCAACGCAGTCTGTGGGCCGTGCTCAGAGCCACTCCAGGAGCACAGGCCTGGGCGTCCTGTTGGGCTCAACGAGGGCTTGAGCCCGAATAGAGGCCGCACTCCTGCCAAGAAGGGTCATCCACCGTTAGTTCCGATGACTCAAGCAGAAATCGACGAGATCAACCGTCGTCTCGGAACAACGGCTCATAGGAGCCCGATGGCCGAGGAGGTCCAGCCTCCGAAGGGACTTGTGCCTATGACCCAGGAAGAGAAAGATGCGCTCACTCGCCTTCCTGGAATGCGGGGATACCCGCCTGGCGTCTCCAGTCAGGTCCAACAGCCAGAAATGATGGATGACGATGAACAGAAGGCTCAGCGAGCCGCAGCAGATGCGGAGCGCAAACGAATAGCAGACGAACGCACCCGCGAGGCAACTCGCCAAATGCTGCTGGA